ATATATAGTATATATATATATATATATATATATATATATATATATATATATATATATATATTATAATATATATATGAAAGATGGAATAATGCAATACCGCATTTTATCATGAACATTATAAACCTCTCCGAACGGGATTCGATCCCTCGGCCGTCAATGCACGTGAATGCAAGACGGCCGCTCTACCACTCGTACAGCGACCCACTAAAAGGAGTGAGCAACTAGGTGCTTACTAGCATCCATAGACATTACATACCTACTCATACATGAGTAAGGATAGCAAAGTTTCACACTCACTCCCCGTAGGCACTCACGTGCATTGACGGCGAGGGATCGAATCCCGTTCGGAGAGGTTATAATGTTCATATATATATATAATATATATATATATATATAATATATATATATTATATATTAATATTATATTAATATATATATATATAATTATACATTTATATACATATATATATATATATGTATATATATATATATATATATATATATTTTTATATATATATATATATATATATTATATATATATAATATATATAAACTTATAGTAATATATTCATAGGTATATATATAAATACATTAATACATATATATGCATATATATGTATATCACCATGATCATGGAACTAACGGCGACCTGGGGCATATAGCCGCATCCACCCTTTCTTTGTACCTACAAGGGTCCCTCATGGCAATCCGCTAAGCAAGAACTCGGCCCATCTAGAGCTCCTCACGACAGATTTGACAGATCTGCTAAAGCCACGACTTCTTAGGTCGTCCCACAGGCCTCTTCCACTCAGGACTTTCTTGAACAGAGATAACCTCGTGGGCAGGATCATCCTGAGGGAAGTGAGCCAGGTGATCGTATAACCTGAGTTGGCGATCTCGAATCGTGCAGGTAACAGGTCCTGTGCAAGTCTTATGGTGCAACTGTTGGTTTGACACGTGGTCCCGCCAACAGTACCCCATGATACGACTGTAAGAACTGGAATGTTGGGCCTTACAAGTTTGGTAGATGGCGAGCTTAGGGTTTAGGGTAGGAAACCAAGATGCGGCTGCTCCTCGGAGCAAGGTGTTGCTCCTTGGCTTCCTGCAGGGAATCTGCCTGATCTCCTATACAATGGTCTAAAGATCGCACCAAGTCACGTTGTTAGCATGTGACGACTGGTGATAAACAAGCAAGCATTACAAGAGATAGATAACAGAACATTCTAATGTATGGTGAGGCAAGAAGAGAGGAATGAACAGAGGAAGCAATGATCAGGCGTATATGCATACATATATGTGTGTGAAGATACGTATGTGACAAACGTGTAAGATTATATAAATATGTATCATGTAGTAATTAGATATAGATATAGCTGGGTTACACCGGCACAAGGACCTATTATAAAAGCCATCAAGACGAGACTCCAAGGCACAAGATAATGTCCAGGTTTCACTATCATATAGCAAAACTGGCATTTTCAGGGCCTTGAAGACGCGTAGCTTGGTCCTTCTGCACAGGTACTGGCATCTCCAAATACTCTTGTTGAGAGAGTTTATGACCCATGCTGCCAGGCGAATTTGTCTGCTGTCTCTCTTTTCTGACAGGCCAGAGTTATAAACTACACTACCAAGGTATGTAAAGCTCTCTGTGACTTCATTGTTCTCGCACCAAGCACATACCGACCGAGTAGGTTCTCCTAGCAAGTCCCCAAAGTCCTGGAATTTGGGGTTGGTCCAGGAGACCTCTAGACCCAAGAGCTTCGCTTCATTACTAAATGCATCTAGAGCCACCACTATTGCTATTAGTCCAATAATCCTTGCTGGAATTCCTCTCAGTCTCAGGATCTCCCAGAGTGATTCCCGATGCACCATATCGAACACCTTCTTGAGGTCAATGTAGGTTGCAAGCAGCCCAAGCCCGAACTAACGACGGCACTCTACCATGACTCGAAGCTCAAGGGTACGATCTATTGTGGAGTGAATCTAGATTGCTCCAGCCTATGATGCCTCAGTAGGTGGTCACTGATATGTCTCAGAAGGATGTGAACAAGGATCTTGCCTGGCATACTGAGTAGTGTAATGCCTCAGTGGTTGTTCCCCTACCTGAGAGGGATGACTACACCCCTCAACAGGTCAGGGGGAACGGTACCAAACCGCCAGATAGCAACCAGGATAGCATGCACCCATGCCATGGGTTCACCACCAACCTTTATTAGTTCATCTGTGATGGCGCATATACCTGCTGCTTTACCACTCTTCAACTTGGAGATCGCGCTCCTAACTTAAGTTAGAAAAGGAAGATCCTCACTGTTGTGTGGGTCCGGCAACGGAATCTCGGCACTACCCGCATCTAAGTTAACTTGGTGGATCAAACGTACAACTGTTCAAAAAGACCAACGCTCCCACACCGCAACAGGATCTGAGACGATCTGGCCACTCATTAAGCAAACTGCTCTCACCTGTGAAGAGAGCTTAGAGTTCAGCTTTCTCAGGACGAAGG